GTTTTACTTCTTCTTTCCCTATTTGAATTCCTTGTATGCCTTTTTCCTGTCTTATTGCTCTGGCTAGAACTTCCAGTGTTATGTTGAAGAGCAGTGACTCACACTAATTTTTTAAAGTACCTTTATTTTAAAACTTTCTATAGAAAAATATTTTTGACAGTAGAGCTGAAATTCCTAACTTAAGCTCATTTTCTGCTTCCATTACCACAGTGTTTTTTAAAAAATAAGTTTTGTCAATAAGGATTTTAAATAAGGAAGCAACAGAAGTCACAGCCTAGCATTTTGTGTACCAAAGCTAGCTCATAAATGACCTACAGAATATTTTGATTAAAAGATTAGTTGTAATAGTTAACATCATAGATAAACCCCAAATGTAGATTTCTAGTTGTTCATGAATTGCTGACTAGATTTACCTATCCTGGCTTAATTTTTTGCATATGGACAATTCTTGGAGCTGAGGGGCAAGCGCCCCATGTAGATGGTACAAATGTACCTTTTTGGTCACACAATCCTCCCTGACCTACATTTGACTTCCCAAAGTTCTGCCAATTCCATAAACACAAGTGAATTTGTTATCCCTGAAGAGTAGAATGTGTATATATATTTTTAATTGTGGGAGGGTTGAGATGTCATAAAATATTTCAAGTAAGGCATGAGAATTTTTGTGTAGAATAGCAAGAGATGAAAAATTTAGGGTCTCTTACCTGTGGATAGTGCTCTTCTCATTGGTTTCAGGACAGATGGTGTGAGTATCAAGAGGCTTAGCAAGACCAAGGGACTTTAGTAGCCTTTACAGTTTGCCCTCAGGCTTGAGTAATGTTGGTGTCTTCTTTCCTCCTGCCATTATCAGTGATTCAGTCAACTTTTGTCTCGTAGGTCAGTCCACCTGGGGTTCTCTGTTTGCCAGTGCTGAACATACCAAGAACTGAATTCAACTACTACGCTGAGACAAGGTTTATTTTAGAAGAACTAAATATCTCTGATTCATTCCACATATTCCGAGATGAAATTAATCTGCACCAGCTAAATGATGAAGGAAAGTTATCTATAACACTTGTGGGCAGCAATGTGCTGGCAAGGTAGGCTTAATATGAGGCTCTGGAGTGAGCTTGGCTGTTTTAACAAATCTTTTCTGGGCAACGTATAACATTGTTTAGGATTCTTGTGGTTTAGGGGGGTGTTTTAAAGACAGAAGACATTAACAAAAAAGGAGGGCATAATTTTTTCTCATCCTCCACAGAAGTTGGCTTATGCCAATCCTTTATTTTTCATTTCAAGTATGATATTTTCAAGTGCAAAGTTCTTATGAAATTGGACCAAAACTTTAAATTTTTTCCCATTTTTATTCATATATTTTTACATCATTGTTTATTTTTGTACAATGTTTGATTTCTCCTCTCAGGTGTTGTCCCCTGAGATTAACACCACCAAGACACCCACAAACCATAACCATGCTCTTCCCTCCCATTTTGACGTCTCTCCCTCCCATGATGAATGTCTCTGAATGCCTGCTAGTTTTGTATTTTTTTTTCCTAATCCCTTATATGCTTTTTCCTCTCATAAGTGAAATAAATCAGAAGGAAAAAAAATCAGATGGTTTCACTTAGAGCAAAATTTTAATATTAACCATTCCCAACACTTTTACAGTAATGCTATAGTCTTATGTATTGATGCTGAAAATGTGTAATAAAAATTGAAATCCAACATTAAGAAACTGAAAAATTCTTAGGGAAAAGATATCTCAAAAATTAAATGGAAAATTAAACAGATGGGCTACAAAAGTCATTGGATCACTAGCTTATTCATTCATAGCATTTAAAAGGATAAGAACACGATGGTTTTTGAAAACAGTTTGAATTCTTAATGTTATAGTCGAGAAACTTGACATTCATTGTTGCAAGTGACTTGTCCAAGGTACCACAAGTGTTGGGATTAGAACTTGGACCTTCTGTCTCCTTCAGTATATTTAAGAGTTTTTAAATGCTAGATCCTAAAGGTATATAAAAAGAAATAAGAAAAATTATCTGCTTTAAGACCTTATAACCCAGCACAAAGTGCATTTTTTGTAAATTCTCTAGTACTCATTGATGGAGAAATAGCAGTCCAGTATCTCAGTAGTTTAAGATAATGGTATTTTTGGACATTTAGCCTATTTGCTAATCATGATGACACAAACAGTGGCCATTGACCTTAGTATACATAAAATAAAAGCATGTATAACTAATTTTTTATTTCTAAAATTTTATTCATTTGCCCTTAATTTACATAACTATAATTTTGGGAGCACTACTTTACCTTGCCATATGTGACATGCTTCATCCTATCCACAAGCTCCACTGCCAATACCCTTTACCTTCCCTCCTCTACTCTCTGCTCCCCATCCCCTTTGATAATCAGTATGTTTTTCAGAGTTTAAGAGTTACTTTTGCTCTGCTTTGCCAGCTTGTTTACTTGGTAAACAATGAGTAAATGGGTAAACCATTTATTAACTGTCTTACTTTCTGGCTTATTTCAACGCATAAACGAAAATCTGTGTGTTTTGTCCCAGGAGATACTAGTTCATATTTTTTATTAACTGAGTAGTATTCCATTGAGCATATTCCACTGTTTATTTATACAGTGGTCTGGTGATAGACATTTAGATTGGTTCCATGACTTGGCTATTGTGAATAATGCTGTTATGTATCTTTTCAAATTAGAGTTTCTATATTATTAGGGTAAATACCTAAGAGTATTACTAGTAGATCATATAGTATTTCCATTTTTATTTCTTTGAGGAATCTCCAAAACATTTTTTTATGAAGGCTGAACCAAATTGCATTCCCATCAACAGTAGCTAAAAGTTCCCTTTTCCCTACATTCTTGCCAATATTTGTTACTTCCTGCCTTTTAGATAGAGAATATCTCACAGGGCTGAGGTCATACCACATTATAGTTTTGATTTGCATTTCCCCTTAATAATTGATGTTGAGTATTTTCTCATGTACCCTTAGGCCATCAGATGTGTTTGTAGCACTGCTAATATCCCTTTTCTGTGGAGTTCTAGATCTGAGACCCTGTAGTCTATGGCTCTTAGTGTACTTCATTAGGTTATTACCAGTTGTAAGGAGTTGGGAAGTTTGAGTATAGTCCTGCCCACTTTTGTTCTTTTTGCCAGGGACCACTGGGTCTGTGTGGAGCCTCCCAGCTCCTCCACACCTGTTTCACCTCAATCAGGGGTGTGTATCTCACCCCATACAACTCTCCCTTCTCTAGGGTTGCTGACTGACCATTCACCCTGTCTTTAACTATAGCCTCAAGGCACTTCTGTCTACCCATGTCTTATCAACTGAAATGTGTTTTTCATTTTTGATCTTCTGTTTCAAAGGAGTGTTCCAGTTTTACCCTAAGCCATGAGATTCTCTGGGTGAAGTGTCCGTATGATTAGTTATTAGATGGTCCTCTTGGGAGTGAAGCAAGGAACATCTTGGCTTTCTCCTGTTTCACAAAATTCTTTTGAATGATATTTAATTAATTATTGATAATTGAGGGCTATAGATAAATTATTTGACCAAGTTCAGTTATCAGTGCTCAGGAAGATTACATGGTTGACTAAATTTATATTTTGATTTGCTCAGACCAAGTCACGCAAGTTGATATGGACAAAGACAGAGGAGTGAACTATGAAACATCTGTATCAGTAAAAATCTTAGAGTTTTGCTATCAGTTAAGATGGAAAAATTTAATCTGCTCTGGAGACTAAAGTTGTAAATTCTGATTTTAAGACTATTTATGTTGTCATTCACTTGTCTTTGCAGTTAAAAAGAGTAAAGTTAGTTTTACTCATGTCTTCCTAACTTTGATAAAGTCAACTATATCTCACATAAAAAAAAGTCATGGTAGAAATAAATAAACTAGTACTCTGTTTTCTCCAGCACAGTGACTTGATGAGCAAGTTTTAGAATCATATTGTCAGATTTTAAATACAATGGAAAATTGCACTTATTTAGTCTCATTTTCTTATTACTCTTTCCCATGTGTGAGTTAGGAATTCCAATAGAAACCACTCAAAAAGTCATTTTATAGTATAAAACATGATAATACACCAAAAATATAGTAGTGTCTGACCAGACTAGATGTTCAATACATGTAAGCCATTATTGCTATTATTTCATTATTACTTATTATTACTAGTACCACAATTATTTTCCAATAGCAAAATCACAGAGTGCTGAAGTATGAAGGTGTTCTAAGACCCTTATAGATGATGGCATATAGGTGAAGTGGTGGTGGGAAATCCAAAGGGATTAAAACTGAGATGAAAAAAGTACAAAATGAAGAATGGTGCAAACAATATATGTAAATTTTTTTTAAATGGAAAAATATTATAGTAGTATTTCATTGTCTTAGACAATTTTGTCTTTTAATGTAGATCTTTAGACATGGACTATGATGGATTCTTTATAAAGTCAAACATTAAAATAGTCAATATTAAAAAAAAGATTTTTGGAGGCAGTTGGAAAAAATGTGATAACACAAAATAAAGTCGTATTCTTGTGAGTCATGTGTGATTACTCATATTTTTTTTGACTGAGAGGAAGTCACTTGTGTGGGAGCATAAATTAAATAATTCCAAAGAATAAGAAAACATGTCTTACCACTTACTTTTCTTTTCCTCCATTGCTTTACAGTGAGGACAAAACTTTAGAATCGGCAGTTGTCAAGGTCATTAATCCAGTTGAGCAGAGTGATTGTGCTCTTGAGTTCCGAGAGTCTTCCTCCTCCCTCGTGGTAAAAGAGATTCTCCAGGAGGCTCCTGAACTCATCACTGAGCAGTTGGCTCATCTCCTCAGAGGTGAGAGATGACTCTTTCTATTAAATACTGGAAGGCTTAATGGAGTGGCTCTCAACTTGCTCATGCAGAAAGAGTGTGATCCATTCTTGGTTTAACAATCCCTTTAAAGACCACAGGAAGCTTCATCAGAGAGGCAGGGAGTAAAGAGTTTGTTAAAGAGTAGCATTATAGTGAATATTAAAAATGTGCATTTAAAAATAGGCATGAAGGATCTTTGCTGTTTCACTAGACAAGAATATTAAATGGAGCTGCTGCACTTCTGTTGGGGAACTGGTGTAGCCCCTGTGGCTCTTTCACCACTTCCAGAGGTGATGCTTGCCCCACAGCAGTAGGAGTGTCGCCAGACTTCTATACTCCCACCATGAAACCATTTCTGATATTGGTGTTTGCTTGGTTTGTGTAATATTGTTTGGGTGACAAAATGCAGGCTTTTCGTTGTGGTGATATTGTTGTGCCAGGGCTTTTATAGTCTAATTATCACATCCTTTGCCCTCACCTTATTAAATATTTCATCTTTATGCAGTCTGCTTTAAGTGTTGTTTTCCTGAGCACACTGTCATCAGTTAGTCTCATAATCTCTCTTTCACCTCTGCTAGTGATGGGCTTTACTTGCAAAAACTGATTCCCATTTTGGCCCCAGTTGGCCATTGTCGCTTAACTTCAGTGCCACAAAATTACTACAAAAATTAAATATTGTCTCATAGACAGTTTAGAGTTTAGATTAAGCATATTTTCTTTCAACAAACTCTTTAGAACATGGTAGGATAAATTTTCCTTAAAATTTAAAGCAGCAAAACCAAAGACAGTGATTAGCAGACTGAGAATTAAAGGATGGAAAAGGCTTAGAGTATGTTGACTCAATTTTTTTGAGGACTCTTCCCTTTACTTCCTCTGTCTACCACAATTTGGAGGGGAAAAGAACCAACAGTGACATAGTTCCTATAAATATTTTAGAAGTAAAGTTATCAGGATACCTGTTTTGAATATTTTTCTGGCTGTGGACATCTGGAATAATGTATTTGGGCAAAGTGTGCATATGTGCAAATGGTTCTCACATGTGAAGAAGCAAGATTGGTGATCTTTGACTCTCAAATGGTCTCCCCAATATCAAGATAAGAGGTAAGAAATACTGTTGTGCAAATGGCCGCTTTTTAGAAAGTGCCTCAATCTTTATTAAGTATAAAATCAGTAATTATAAAAAAGGAATCAAGCCTAATTTTGCTGTATTCAGATTTCAAAACTCAGATGTAGATTTCTAGTCATGTATTAACACCAAACCTAGTGGGTGTTAGTTCTGGTGCCTATGGATAACTAGTATTCTTAATATTCATAGCATGAATAGGTCTCTCTCTTTTATAAAAGTTTTATTTATGCACATAGAGCTGGAGTACAGGCCAGAGGTACAGATGCTGTGAAAGGATTCACCAGAGACAGAGTGGAGAGCAGACCAGGCTGACTAATAAAATACACTGCTGAGGGTAGCAGCAGGCGGGTCAGGAGAGGTGTGCTGTGCCATGTGGATCACCTCTGGGGTGGGGATGGAACTCAGGCTGAAGTGGCTTCAGCTTCTGAGTGTTGTGCTTTAACCCACTGCGCCACCAGGGATGGGGTCCGAGTAGTTCTCTTTTTAAAGGGTTTTCTTTATAAGCAGTTATATGACATTATTTTTTACTTTGGGATGTTCAAAATGATCACTAATTGGAAACACATTTCTAGAACTTGCATTAATGCATTCTTCTAGGTCTTAAAGAAACACAAAGTATCTATGTACATGTTTGCAATAAAGATTTCTTAAAGATGTCTGTCTCCAGATGTGTAAGACTAGCTATTTATGACTGAATGTTGGAAGCATCTTTAAAAACATAATTACAACCATTATACATTATGCAGTATAATTATACATTATTATATAATGTATTATTAGAAATTTTGTATCAAAATATCTAAATTTACTGAATACTTTAAATGATTAGTCAACTTGTTCTTTTCCTTCTATGCCATGATCATGCCTAACATCATATGCTAAGCCATACTGGTGTGCTATTAGTAGATTTGAAATAGGCCAGAATATGAGCCCCTAGTTCCTGGCCCTAATTAAGTCTGTTTGGCTTATAGGCTGAAAAAGCATATAATTTTTAATGTGTTCCTTAATGTGCACAAGGTTGGGCCTATTCCTCCTTAATTTTGTTTTTTATCTCTTTTCTTCTATTCTAGGGTATTGCAATACCCTAGAAATTTGTCCTGACACATTTTTTCCCTATACACCATATTTCAGTGACCTCACATAGTTTTAAGACTTTAACTATGATAACACATGTTGTGATTCTTTGTATCTCCAGTGATGACCTCTACTTAAAATTCCAGGTTTATGTCTAGTGCCCATGTGACATCTTCATGTGCATATTTAATTCGTACCACTGCATTAACTTGGCCATTGAACTCCCTAGAACTGTTTAATTTCCTGTACCTCAAAACCAGCAAGAGGTTTCCCCATTTCAGTAAAAGGCACTGCTGTTATAGACCACACTCCATAAGATGGGTCCTTTGCCCTTTAGAGAAAGGATTCACCAGAGAACTTCTGTTGAACCAGGAAGGCTTTATTAGAGGATCATGTGTGAGAATATTAATGCTGCAAAGCCTGGTTGTTTGAGGGACATTGGGAGATATTTAAGGGATAGATACAAGAGGCTGGACAGTGAAAAATAAGGTCATACTTCTTCTGGCCTTGGCTGGGCATGTGAAGATCTGTTACATTCCAACTGTACTGGGCTTTTAGCCCTCCCTCCAGGATACTGAGATAATCATTAATCAGGGTATGACACTTTTTGTGTAGCATGGTGCCTCATGGTTGGTGTGGAAGGCCAAATTATTTGGATAAATTGTTGGGGTAGGGCCCAGCAGTCCATGATTTATTCTATTTGTTGGCATCAGTAGTTGAGCAACTCAGTCTAGCACAACTCTCAATTCAGTTTGTTCAAACAGGACTTAGGGCAACTATTATCCCATAGGCTTGCAATTTCATTTACCTAGGCTTTCTCACTACCGTCCACCCAATAACTGAAGACACAGTCTAAAAATTATACTTGATTGTTTCCTTTACCTTTCCCCTGACATTAATCTATCAGCAAATCTTGCTGACTTTACATCTAGCATGTACCTGAGTCCATCTGCTTTTCCTATGATCACTACTACTAATGCAATCAAATCTGCTGTTCTGTCTCTTTTTAACCCCTGATTATTGTCCTGTCTCTTCTTTGAATATAGTGTCTAGGAAGTAGTCATAATTACCTCTTTAAAGTGTAGACCACTCATGTTAGTCTCCTGCTTAAAATCCACAGTACTCAATCCAGGCATTCTGCCCTTACAATCTACAGCATACACTTTTCCTTGATTGTACTTGTATTATCTCATGCTATTTTCCTCTGGTGTATTTCATAATTTGTCTTTCATATATGCCATATTCTTTCCACTTGAGTATTTATATAGGCTGTTCCATATTTCTGGAATACTTGTTTATAGCTATTTAGTTATCTTTATTACTAGTCTCCTCCTCCCTCTTGCTTTACTACAGAATGTAAATTTCATGAGAAAACAGACCTTATTTGTTTAATTCATTGCCCCACTGTTGTGTTTCTGGTGCCCAGGATAGTGTCTACTATGTAGAAGACTCTCAATAAGTACTGTGATTTTGTTACTGAATTTTGCAAGTTTATTTATGTGCTTTCTCGTTTCATGAATGCATTTAGTTAGTGTTGTGATATTGTAATTTCCCTCTCATTCCAGCCCATCCCTCTAAATTCTTTAATGTTCAGAATTTGGACATAGTTCCTTTAGTAATCAGCCCCATCTTACTCTCCATCCCCTAACCTCCCATTTTTAGCTTTTATAAGTCCTTATTTTGCAAACCTTTGTTTTTGTTTTCTTTTTGTGGCTGCCATTGTGTGTATATACATTACATATAATATATATTTACATATATTTATACTTTATATATTTATATTATGATATATATTACACACCCACACACATATGTTTACCGTTGCACCAGTTGTTACTTAACTGAATTTTAGCCAAAGTGGCAAGGCAGACCAGTGTTAAGAATCATCCACTTTTTGAATACATATATCCCCAGCAAAGACAACTATTCAAGGGCTTCTTGGGTCTTGCTTATATACCTATATATATATATATATATATAATTATCTAGCTATATAAAAGGTGGGAAGATCTTAACACTGGTCTGCCTTGCCACTTTGGCTAAAATTCAGTTAAGTAACAATTGGTGCAATAGTATGCAAATTAGGTGAAAAATTAGTAACGATTGGTTAAAGTTTCAGTCCTGGGAGGTTTGTGGCTGTTGTACTTTGTTTGAGTTTCTTTCCCCAAGGTGAACAGACCTTGGATCCAATTTTCATTAGATTTCTGTTCTGTTATTCAGATTTAGATGACTACATTAAAATTTTGGGGGGGGTCAATTATGCAACATAAATTAAAAACATACAAACATCTCGATGAACTATCACAAAATGAATATCCTTTTAACAGTTACACAGGTAAAGAGAACAAGATGACTTCTTTGTGCCCCTACCATCACTACTCACTCTCCTTAACCAAAAGTAAACAGTATTCTGATTTTTATGGTTCATACTTCCTTGTTTTTCTTTATAGCTTTATCACACACATACCTTATAGATACCCCATAACATTGCATTTTGGTCTTGTCTGTTAGGTAAATGGAATCCTCTGGTATACAATCTCATTGTTATTAGAGTACTACATTTATACTAAATGTAGTGTCTATTGTGCAGGTTTAATCTATTTCCTATCATTTGCTTATTATTTATGCCCTTCCTTATACAGAATATTTGCAGTGACTTACAAAAATGCACATAATACAATAAATCAAAAAATTCAGGGTCAGAGAAAGTAAGAACATGTTGAGAAAGGAATGACTGGAGTTCATTGAGGGGATGGTACTACTGGTTGACCTCCTACTCCTT